AAATTGGCGGGCGGCAAAACGGCGGGAATCCGCCGGTGCCACGCGGAGTGTGGGCCGGGTGGGTGCGTCCGCGCTCCCACCTCTGTAAGGGCGGCGGTGAGCTGCTCGATCGCCCGCAGCAGCAGCTGCGACCGCTTCTCGGCATCGCCCCCCGCCACCGGCGGTGGTGCGCTGGGACCCCCAGCCGCCGACACCACCTGCCCCGCCGAGTCCATCTCCACGGCGACGGACTGCCCCCGGGTCGCAGCCGGAGCCTCCCCGACGTCGTCAGCACTCTCCCGGCATCCCGCCGGTGGATTCTTACGCCGCCCGCCCGATTTAGGCATAGCGACGGCAGCGTAACCACTCCTAACACCAGTTGTAAAGGAGTTCCCGACGACTCACTCGGAGGCTAAGGTAAGGTAAGGGCTTCCGCCAAGGTTTTATTACAAATCTTTAACAATACACAGGGGTGAACAACTCCCCAGGGGTTAGGGGTCCCGGGCTAGGTCCCGACACAGCCGGCTGCCCTGTGCTGTCTCCTCTGCCCCGGCCGTGGGATCAGCCAACACGGCCGACCGAGGAGCACAGCCACGTCTAGCCTGGCACTTTGCTCTCCCCTATCCCTACCCTCTTGCCCCTGGCTCCCCGTTCCACTCTTCTTCGACCCTACTCTCCAGCTACGACCCCGCTTACGTCATGGGGTCCCCCTTTTATCCTTGAGGAGCCGTGACGTCACTCTGCTGCCCTGAGCGCATGACGTCACGTCATCGCCCTGGACAGCACAAGTGACGCCACTTCCCCATTCTACTCCTCTACACCATTATGGAGCAGCACAGCTTTGAGGTGCCTAGATGAGCTGTCATTGAAGAGGCGCCACGCATTCTGGTTATAGGCGATTCCGATTGCCTCGAACAGACTGGTCACATTGTGGCAGAAGCAGAGCCCATCTTGACAGGTGACGAAGCTGCAAACAGGTTGGTCTGCGACTTGCACAATTTTATCCAACAAGTTCCACTGCTTGAGCCTAGACATCAACAGCTCGGCATTGGACTTGGTGAGACCAAGATCTCTGATCAAGTTGTTGAGGTCTTTTTGGTTGGGGTAGTATGGGTTTCTCTCCTCAGCTCCACCTCTGAAATTGTAATCTGGATCTACAATGTCTTCCTCGCTCTCTGAATTGCTGCTTTCTTCTAAAGACGGCTGCTCTCTCTCCGGAGGAGTGGGTATTGGGGAGCTCATGGCAGTGTGGCACCAGGGCGATAGATGAAGGAAGGTCTGGATATGTGATGGCAGGTACATTCTTGCCAGTCCGACGTTTGCAGAAGTAGCAGTTGCTTGAGTGGTCAGTGGGTTCCCGCCAAATTCTTGGGATAGCGAACTTCATGGCTCTCTTTTCCCCTCTGTACCATCCTACAAAAATACATTTATTTCACATATGACTACATGTGCAAGAAATTCTCGCAAAAATTTGCATGTATATATACATTTATATATATTAATGTGTATATATATGAATGTGCTTTCTTGAGCAGGGGGACCTTGCAGGCGCTGCAGGATTTCAGTCCTTCACGGCGTAGTGTGTTACTAATTGTTTTCTTGGTGACTATGGTCCCAGCTGCCTTGAGATCATTGACAAGATCCTCCCATATATATATGAATGTATATATACAGTGAGGGAAACAAGTATTTCATCCCCTGCTGATTTTGTATGTTTGCCCATTGACAAAAAAATGATCAGTCTATAATTTTAATGGTAGGTTTATTTGAACAGTGAGAGACAGAATAACAACAACAAAATCCAGAAAAACGCATGTGAAAAATGTTATAAATTGATTTGCATTTACTGAGGGAAATAAGTATTTGACCCCTCTGCAAAACATGACTTAGTGCTTGGTGGCAAAACCCTTGTTGGCAATCACAGAGGTCAGACGTTTCTTGTAGTTGGCCACCAGGTTTGCACACATCTCAGGAGGGATTTTGTCCCACTCCTCTTTGCAGATCTTCAAGTCATTAAGGTTTCGAGGCTGACGTTTGGCAACTCAAACCTTCAGCTCCATCCACACATTTTCTCTGGGATTAAGGTCTGGAGACTGGCTAGGCCACTCCAGTACCTTAATGTGCTTCTTCTTGAGCCACTCCTTTGTTGCCTTGGCCGTGTGTTTTGGGTCATTGTCATGCTGGAATACCCATCCACGACCCATTTTCAATGCCCTGGCTGAGGGAAGGAGGTTCTCACCCAAGATTTGACGGTACATGGCCCCGTCCATCGTCCCTTTGATGCCGTGAAGTTGTTCTGTCCCCTTAGCAGAAAAACACCCCCAAAGCATAATGTTTCCACCTCCATGTTTGGCGGTGGGGATGGTGTTCTTGGGGTCATAGGCAGCATTCCTCCTCCTCCAAACACGGCGATTTGAGTTGATGCCAAAGAGCTCCATTTTGGTCTCATCTGACCACAACACTTTCACCCAGTTGTTCTCTGAATCATTCAGATGTTCATTGGCAAACTTCAGACGGGCATGTATATGTGCTTTCTTGAGCAGGGGGACCTTGTGGGCGCTGCGGGATTTCAGTCCTTCACGGCGTAGTACGTTACCAATTGTTTTCTTGGTGACTATGGTCCCAGCTGCCTTGAGATCATTGACAAGATCCTCCCGTGTAGTTCTGTGATGATTCCTCACCGTTCTCATGATCATTGAAACTCCACGAGGTGAGATCTTGCATGGAGCCCCAGGCCGAGGGAGATTGACAGTTATTTTGTGTTTCTTCCATTTGCGAATAATCGCACCAACTGTTGTCACCTTCTCACCAAGCTGCTTGGCAATGGTCTTGTAGCCCATTCCAGCCTTGTGTAGGTCTACAATCTTGTCCCTGACATCCTTGGAGAGCTCTTTGGTCTTGGCCATGGTGGAGAGTTTGGAATTTGATTGATTGATTGCTTCGGTGGACAGGTGCCTTTTATACAGGTAACAAGGTGAGATTCGGACCATTCCCTTTAAGAGTGCACTTAATCTCAGCTCGTTACCTGTATAAAAGACACCTGGGAGCCAGAAATCTTTCTGATTGAGAGGGGGTCAAATACTTATTTCCCTCATTAAAATGCAAATCAATTTATAACATTTTCGACATGCGTTTTTCTGGATTTTGTTGTTGTTATTCTGTTTCTCACTTTTCAAATAAACCTACCATTAAAATTATAGACTGATCATTTCTTTGTCAGTGGGCAAACGTACAAAATGTGCGGGGGATCAAAAACTTTTTTCCCTCACTGTATGAATGTATATATATACATTTTTAAATTTAAAAACTTTTACAACTTGAAAAATTGTAGCAAATTTTATAACATAAAATTCCGAGCATCTATTGTCCATCTTACCTTCCAGAGTTGTTTTGCATTGCTCGCAGGTGAAATTAGGTACCCAGGGTTTGTCTTAATCTCCGACAAACCCTGGGCACTTTTTGTCTTGATAAATTGGCTGCAGACATAGCAAAATGCGTCTGCTGGATACTTGCAGCCTCTTGATGCCATCTCAGAAAAATGCAGATATGTATCCACTTAGGCAGCTGGAACTAAACTGAACTGGTGGGTTTAAGGCCCCTGTATATATAGTACTATTTATATTACTGGAAAGTTTTAGAATGTTTTAGAAGTTACTCCAAGTTTACTCAGCACTGCATCTATCTGGAATGTTCTGGAAAATAGGTAAATTTCAAAATATCACTCTTGTGGTCACAAAAGCAAAGTTTGTGGGGAATAATAGCCGTTTTATGTACTGTTGAGGCATAAGCAATTAGGAAATAACACTTACTACCCAGGAACAAAAAAAAAATTGTTACACAGTGTTATCAGAGCTGGAATTTTGCATTTGTTGGTGTCACCAGGCTGAGACCACAAGTGACTGGACCGGAGGACCCGGCCTAACCAAGGCTAGTTCAACCCCACGTTACAGCTCGGATCCTCGGTGGAATACGCTCAGCGCTCTGATCTCTGAGGCACCCAGCCACCTCAGAAATTGGTTTAAATTTCTACATTCCATGTAATCGCTATAAAGCTTACCAAGATACTGATAATAAATAATTCAGCATGCTTCGTGAACATGAGAATCTATTTTGATTGATGAATCGGAGAATCGTTGCAAGCCTGTGGTACATCGCAATGAATCGTTGCAAGCCTATGGAATGCTATTGCCAATAAACTGCAACTTGGATCACTACCTGTGAGATCTTCACTCAAAACTGCTCTTGAGAAGTTGTACACCCGTAGCTGCCACTGCTATTCAGAATGGCCTTAAATCAAATGTATCGTTCCGGATGACCGCTGCAAAGTATGATCTTGAGTTTTTATTATAGTGTGCTGATCTTTAAAGGTGTATTGAAAATTTGTGATACTGCTTCTCCTGCTGTTATGGAGTGACTCATGCAGCCAGCTATGGCTGCAAAGTTTGGTCATACATGTTATGTATATCGTTTATTGTTAAATTTGAATCACAGTTCCTATGATCACTGTTACATTGTTTTTATAGCTTTATTTTGGCGATTTTGAAAAGTTTTGGTTTAGCCATGTTTGGTTGTTGTTGTAGTACAGAGTTAGCCTGATAACTTTAATCTAAATTTTCTTATGGTTGTTATTGTTTGACATGTTTCCCACTGGGATTTTTGCACACAGCGTTGAAATACGGTGTTTTTTCTGGAAGACTTTTGCTGTTTTTTCCTGGATTTTTCTGTTGCGTGTAGTCACTTTAAGATGTTTCTTGTTCATGTTTTTGTTTGTTGCGGTTGCACCCGAGTCAAGAGCCGCATGGCTCACGGGGTTATACCTAATAAATGATACTGACAACTGAAAAACATGAACTGCAAGGGCAAGATGGCATGAATTTACAAAGCAAGGTTTGACCGTGAGTAATGACGATTGAATGCGGAGGTTGAGAATCGATACCTTCCGACAAAGGATGGACCGATGTGTGGACATGTCCTGTCATCTCCTCTCGAGTTGGTGTCATGTCTGGTCTTGCTTGTCCCAGGGAGAAACTGGCAGAGGAGAGCTCGGAGCTCAAGATGCAGCGAGCGTTCATCGAGGGACTGCAGCCACAGGCGAACCCTGCGTGTAGGAGTCTCCCTCGCACGCCACACAGCGGAGTCTTGCAGTGGTAACACAGGCCGGTGTGCCAGCCCTTTAAAGGGGTGTGCCCGTTGCGCGCACAACATCATCGTGCCTGAGACACCCATCCGCAGGGGTCAAAGAATTCGGCCTGTGTTTTTGTAATTTAAAGTTCTTGATGTGAACCTACTTCTCAGGAATGCAGATCCGAGAGTGGTAAGTGGTTGACATTAAACCGATATATTGCAATGAGGTGGGGAGAGGTGGGTCATGAGTAGTAGACTTTAGCAGTGTAGGGTATAAAAGGCAATGCTTGTGTGACCAGTAGGGAAGGAACTTGATTCGCATAGCGGGAATGGTGAGAGGTGTGTGATGAGAGGTAATTAATTACATGGCCAAACCCAAACGTCGATTATCAATTAGGTTTTGATTGCATTCGGAACCACTCCCGATGTGAAAACATTACTCAATATTATATGGCCCCTTGCTCTTCTCTGTCATGGGGGTTGTTTTTCCATACTTTATTGACATGGTCTTTGCGGGAGTACGAAAGGGGGGCCCCAGAACTGATGTCAGCTGTGGCCAGTAATCAAACCTGGGTTGGCGGGTTCATAGAATGGTGCCACCATTCCCCACTGCGGCATACATAAGTGACGTGGGCCGAGTAGCCTGGCGGTCAGTCGTATGGGTCTCTCCCCGTCGTCATTTCTCCCATCCTCGGTGTGCCCCTCGTCGTCTGCTTGCGTCCATTGCCCCCTGTAGCCCCGAGCGTGGAGGAGCTGCAGGCCGCACTAGAGCAGAAGGAAAGGGACATGCGTGCAATGGAGGAGCGCTACAAGCGATACCTGGACAAGGCCAAGAGTGTGAGCCTCGTCCTGGCACCGTCTCACATCACAACTCAACCCTGGACACTTTGTGACTCCTTCCACTGTCTGACAGTGAACCACAAAGCCTTTTTCCATCCTTTGGCCTGTACTGTACGTCACAGTTGCAGAGAAATTATCCTATACTTTTCTGAAATATCCATTTTAGCTGAGAAGAGATGATTATTTGCCTTGATAAAATAATATTTTAATAAGTTTTGGACAATTTTTTATATTTTCAATATTTTTATCCAGTTTCAAGATTTTGCATGGGATTTTCCCACTTTTTTGTATCGCTATGAGACTCGCGTTTTTCTTGTGTTGCGTTAACTTTTTACGTGTTTTTCAATGGCATTTTGAAATATCACTCCACACATTCAACACATATATCCTATACATCTGCACATGTGTTATAAATCAGACATTGCAGATGAAGCGGTGACCGTGTGATGTGCATGAGTGGTGGTCGGCTGCATTGGCTTGCTTATTTGTGTCCTTGGTAAATGCCTGTGACTGACCCCTTGACCCCTGTCCTTCAGGTCATCAAGACCCTTGACCCTAAGCAGAGCCCGATGACAACCACTGAATTACAAGCCCTTCGCAGCCAACTCCGCCAGAAGGACAACCTGGTTCACTCCCTGGAGGTACGACCGCCGCGAGCTAGGACAAGGTTTTGATTTAAAGCTTTCGTGACTGCAGGGATTCATATTCTTGGTTCTTTCGGTAAAGTCACGTAAAACGGAAACAATAAAATAATCAAAATATAAAACAATAAAATGATCACGACGTTTCGAATGCAACACAAGCAATCATCATCAGGTAGATTTCTGACGAGATATCTGTAAAGAAAAGTGGGCATTTCCTCCCTGTGTATGCCATGAGCCTTCTCAGGGGGTCTGGATGTTTCCCACAGGAGAAAGTTCTTCACAATGGATGTTCCAATCAGGCCTCCCCTAGAGGAGAGTCCGACGATTTGGCAAGGCTTTCCTGCATAGACATTATAAATACACTTCACTGGGTTTTTCACACCTTTTGTCATTTTGAAATGGTAATTGATCATGACAAATTTACTCAATAAACTTGAAAATGAAACATGAAAATACGAACATGATGGACGTGAAATGCCGCAATTCCGACTCGACTGAATAAATCTCCCATCTGCAATTTTCCCACTGCTGTGTTGTCACAATTTTTTCACATCTTCAGGACTCTAAACAAGACAGAGAAAATTTACTTCTGGTTGTTACGTACCATCCAAAGAGTAAGGGGACGGTAGGTTGATAAGAATTCCAGAGTCCGCCAAGCACCTGCTTGGGTGAACGTCTTGCTTCGCAATGAGGGGGTGTGACTGCCTCTTGATTGGGTGGCGTGAAGCTTAAGGGGTCCCTTACACCGCCCCATGCACGAATGATTTGATCAACTGGGAATAATTGTGATTTCTCGATCACTTTGTGTGCTGATCAGACGTTAATTTTGAAATTAATGCATTTGATTGGAATACATCTATTAATCTGGACGGCACAATTGTATAATGGGAATCAATAATGACTAATGCAATTTAGCATTGTTTTGGCTTTGATTTTTCAAAGCCGAAACAAGTCGAGTCCATTAAGGTCAACACGTTTTTTTTCGTGACATAACATCTATAAGCCTCACGTGTTTTGCTTGTAGCGTGAATAAATGTATACTTTTGCTCAAATGAACATAGGTGGTGCTTGTTTGCTGTCCTGGAGGGATGGTGGTCATGATTAGGCAGAGCCAACGTTGACCAGGATTTTAATTCACAACCTCACGACTTAGCCTTGCCACTCTACCTTGGCTGGCTATGAACCATGGGGGCAATGAAATAAAACGTTAAAATTGTTGCGTGGCGTACGAGTCTGCACAAATACGTTGAATCAAAGGTGGAAGAATAACAAGGGGTGGATGAGGACCAATGTGGATTGATTGTTTAGAGGAGTGCGGTAGTCTAAAGGTAGACAAATGCTTGAGAAGGGCGGTGGACAGGAAGGATGGGGAACCATAGCTGCCAACCTTCTACTAAGAGTTGGTGTCATTGATTAAAGGACTTTAATCAATGACAACGAGGAGGGAGTTTCGGCAGTAGGGACAGCAGAGGAGGAGTGGCAACCAACTGAGTCTGAGTGGGGAGTAACTGGGATGGCTTCACCGGCCGCGGCCTCTGGAGTTGAGGGGATGGGGAGAAGACTAGAGCAAAATTAGGGTAGAGGCAGGTGATCTCGTCTCCATGAACGAGTCTCGTGATGAATGCGTTCTTGTAATTAATCCACAATTGGAAAGAGGGTCAGTGAAGGGAACCTAGGATTGGAGTGATGTGGTCACATTTGTGGGTACTGGTGAAACCTTTGGTGGCAGGAGTTTTGATAATCTGCCATTTTGTGATGAGGAATTTGATTAGGAAGTAAGAGTTGAGTAGTATATTGTCAAAAACAAATGCATTGAGGTCTTTGCAGTAGGACTCGCACAGTTCAGGAGATGTGCCACGGGTGGTAGGACAGTGGTTCTCAACCCATTGGGGCATTTCATGAGGGCGCACCGGCATGGATACCTTGCAGAATAAAATGATACAGCACTCCGTTGCCTTCTGTAGGCTAATGATGTGTTAATACATCCTCCACTCAATCAAGATTGAGCCGAAAATTGAGTATATCATAGGGACATCCCAACACATGTACTTCTGTGTACCGCTAGTGTCGCTATTGAGTGTGATATTGTTTTCGACGCGTGAATAATTCCCGCAGCAGCTGCCACCACATTAAGATTTAGGCTAAAATAGTTTTTGGCTCTTGGCCAAAACTGCCACCAGGCAATTATTAGCACAGAGAGAGGTGCCTCTTTACAAGAGTTAACAACTATTTTGCAAATTAGTTTTGCTATTTTATTTTAAGATAGGAAAAGGGGCATTCAGGGATGTTTAACATTGCACGATAATGAAAGTAATAAATGGGCTTGGGGAGAACACGTCGAGAAAAGGGATGGTGGCTCGTGGTCGAGACAGAGTGGCAGCCAAATGAGGGAACTCACCAGAGTGGACGTCCACAGATGTTGATCGATGTGTTTGAGCAACTTGTACAACACAGTAGAGATGTGCGAGTGCCATGGGTGGATTAGAGAGGGAGGGGCATGGAGACCAGTGGCCTTGATTTGGGGACTGACAATTAAAATGCCGGAGAAGCACTGGGTGGAGGTCCTGCAGAGTTGAGAGGTACAAGAGAGGTCAGAATCAATGATAGCACCAACGTTAAGCACTTTGTTGATTTTAAATATTTTTTTGCTGAGGTTAGAGGTTCGAAACTGGAAGGCCACACAAGTAAATACTGCGGATGTATTAACCCTAAAATAGTGGACGTTAAAGATCCTGTGAGGTTCATTCTTCTCTTTTTGTCAGTCCACTAAAGTCGAATGTCCTGCGTGACGAGGACATTTTGGCACTCGCAGATCGCCTGCTGCGAGACCTTGCATACTGCAGGGGCCTTCGTCGAGCAGTGGGCAGAGCAGGAGGCATCGCGCAGGCTGCTTCTCGCCGCCATAAGTCGCAGCAGCAGCTGCAGCGCTGGTTATGTGGAGCACCGCCACGTGGTCAGGGTTGGGCCTTGAGCTGTCGACTTGGATACCAAGTCGGTTCAGAGCTCTCCATATGGTTCACCCCGCGATTGTTCCTGTGGGGAGTTGTTCACTCGCCTTGATGCCTCATGCTGATCTCAGCACCAAGGCATTCAAGTCGTTCCCACCACAACTCCTTGTGTGTGGTCGCGGGTGTGTAAACTGAACTGGTCTTGGGCCTCCCCGGCCTCAAATGAGTACCTGTTGTGGTGTGTAAACATCGCCACTGGGGAGATGAAGGCGGTCGGGCGTGGTACTGGCCACCTACCCCTTTGTGTACTGTGATGGCCTTCATTGGTGCTCCCTAACAGCACTTGCCCCAAAAGTCTGTTAAGGCTATTGGGGGGACATTTGGCTTTGTTGTTGAGTGCCTGTGCTGTTATAGGACGGTGTCTGATGTCTCCAGTTGCCTCCTCTCCGCTTGACTCAGCCACGACTCTCCGCATGTCCGGTGGCACTAGTACAGCGAGGATGTATTACAGTGAGGGAAAAAAGTATTTGATCCCCTGATAATTTTGTACGTTTGCCCACTGACAAAGAAATGATCAGTCTATATTTTTTATGGTAGGTTTATTTGAACAGTGAGAGACAGAATAACAACACAAAAATCCAGAAAAACGCATGTCAAAAATGTTATAAATTGATTTGCATTTTAATGAGGGAAATAAGTATTTGACCCCTCTGCAAAACATGACTTAGTACTTGGTGGCAAAACCCTTGTTGGCAATCACAGAGGTCAGACGTTTCTTGTAGTTGGCCACCAGGTTTGCACACATCTCAGGAGGGATTTTGTCCCACTCCTCTTTGCAGATCTTCTCCAAGTCATTAAGGTTTCGAGGCTGACGTTTGGCAACTCGAACCTTCAGCTACCTCCACAATTTTTTTATGGGATTAAGGTCTGGAGACTGGCAAGACCACTCCAGGACCTTAATGTGCTTCTTCTTGAGCCACTCCTTTGTTGCCTTGGCCATGTGTGTTGGGTCATTGTCATGCTGGAATACCCATCCACGACCCATTTTCAATGCCCTGGCTGAGGGAAGGAGGTTCTCACCCAAGATTTGACGGTATATGGCCCTGTCCATCGTCCCTTTGATGTGGTGAAGTTGTCCTGTCCCCTTAGCAGAAAAACACCCCCAAAGCATAATGTTTCCACCTCCATGTTTGACGGTGGGGATGGTGTTCTTGGGGTCATATTCAGCATTCCTCCTCCTCCAAACACGGCGAGTTGAGTTGATGCCAAAGAGCTCCATTTTGGTCTCATCTGACCACAACACTTTCACCCTGTTGTCCTCTGAATCATTCATATGTTCATTGGCAAACTTCAGACGGGCATGTGTATGTGCTTTCTTGAGCAGGGGGACCTTGCGGGCGCTGCAGGATTTTAGTCTTTCACGGCGTAGTGTGTTACCAATTGTTTTCTTGGTGACTATGGTCCCAGCTGCCTTGAGATCATTGACAAGATCCTCCCGTGCAGTTCTGGGCTGATTCCTCACCGTTCTCATGATCATTGCAACTCCACGAGGTGAGACCTTGCATGGAGCCCCAGGTTGAGGGAGATTGACAGTTCTTTTGTGTTTCTTCCATTTGCGAATAATCGCACCAACTGTTGTCACCTTTTCACCAAGCTGCTTGGCAATGGTCTTGTAGCCCATTCCAGCCTTGTGTAGGTCTACAATCTTGTCCCTGACATCCTTGGAGAGCTATTTGGTCTTGGCCATGGTGGAGAGTTTGGAATCTGATTGATTGATTGCTTCTGTGGACAGGTGCTCCTAATCTCAGCTTGTTACCTGTATAAAAGACACCTGGGAGCCATAAATCTTTCTGATTGAGAGGGGGTCAAATACTTGTTTCCCTCATTAAAATGCAAATCAATTTATAACATTTTTGACATGCGTTTTTTGTTGTTATTCTGTCTCTCACTGTTCAAATAAACCTACCATTACAATTATAGACTGATAATTTCTTTGTCAGTGGGAAAACGTACAAAATCAGCAGGGGATCAAATACTTTTTTCCCTCACTGTAGTTGTTGAAGTTTGTGGGTTTGAGGCAGCGTGTAATGATGCAGCAGGTGTCGGTGAGCGCAAGGTATCAGAATCGGAATATTTATTTATACTGGAGGAATCCGAAGCGTTATAAAGCTCTATTTCACAGGTGTCCGGTAGGGGCAGGTCAGAATGTTTGTTTTCTTTGCGTGGACCGATAGTTCCCAGATGTGGCAGGCGCACTCTATGTTGGAGCAGCTTAGGGCGAATGCTGAGGTCTTGGTTGTGGCTGTGCGTGGTCCACATGTTGAGTTTACAAACTTGCGGATCATGTTGTTTCGGGAGCTGACTTTTCCTTTAGTCTTCTCGATGTGGCTCTTGAAGGAGAGCGTGCGGTCCAAGGGTCACTCCAAGGTAGACTGTGCTGGTGAAGTGAGTCATGGGAGCACCAGTCCAGGTGATCTTGAGTATTTTGTTGGCATCACCGTTGCGTAGATGAAAGAGACCTGCTTGGGTTTGGGCCGAGCTGGTTGGATGCTTAGTTTCCAGTGAGTGGCAAGTGCATCTGTGCTTAATTTAGATAAAGTCTGAAGTTGAGCACAACCTGACAGCTGCATTTGCGAGGATGACTGGATACTAAGATGTTAATGGCTGAAGAGTATGCCATTGTGTGCTGGTGTCACAGTTCAAATTTGAAATACTTCTCGCAAATGAATAAAAAAATATGTTACAACCATCGGCCCCCGACTACAAAATTTAACAGTACCCTCCTAAAGAAGGTTTAGATTTGGTGAGGCTTTACTGGGTAAACTATTGTACTAATCAGAGTGTACTAATGTCAGACTAGAGCAGGGGTTAGCAACCAAAACAACAAGAAGATACATTTTTTTTCTAATTTGGTAATAAAAAACCTCAATCTTTCAGGAGCCGCAATGCATGTGAATACAAGACGGTGGTCCTTAATAAATAATGTCACAAAACAAACCTTAATGAGCCGCATGCAGCTCCAGAGCTGTAGGTTGCCGACCCCTGCCCATAGTGAACTGGACTCCCATGGTGAACTGGACTCCCATGGTAAACTGGACGTTCATGGTGAACTGGACTTCCATGGTAAACTGGACTTTCATGGTAAACTGGATTTCCATGGTCAGGGATCGGCAACCAAAATAGCGAGAAGAGACATTTTTTGCGAATTTCAAGAGCCACACTGCAGTCCTGAAAGAGCCGCATGTGGCTCCGGAGCCTCAGGTTACTGACCCTTGGACTAGAGCATGGTAGTGCTGGAATGTGGATTATCATCATCATCGTTAAGTGTGTGTGATTGGATGTTCTTGCAGCGCGAGTGCGAAAAAACACGGCAGCTGCGGGAGCAGGAGGAGAAGCTCATTGTCAGCGCTTGGTACAATATGGTGAGTGATTATTACTCCCCCACTCACTCACAGCACACACGACGTTCTATTGCCTGTGATCCGTGTTGTGTGAAATCGGTTCATGTAAACCCTGTAGCCACTAGAGAGCCACATTTGCCACTTTTAAAAGAAGTAAATACCGGGTTTTTCAGATTACGCGAGGGTACACCTCGCACATGCGTGCGGTGTCGGTGGCATATGGTGTCTAAACCTGTTCTTGGCCTGTTTTAGGCCACTTTGGCTTGAGATCAGTAGCTGTGCTCCTAGCCATAGCAATGGTCCATGGTAGTGGTCCTGGCCTATGCTCCGTGGACACGGGTGTCTGATCTTGGCCTGTGCTCCGTGGACACGGGTGTCTGGTCTTGGCCTGTGCTGTGTGGACATGGGTGTCTGGTGTTGGCTGTGCTCCGTGGACACGGGTGTCTGGTCTGGCCTGTGCTGTGTGGACACGGGTGTCTGGTCTTGGCCTGTGCTTCGTGGACACGGGTGTCTGGTCTTGGCCTGTGCTTCGTGGACACGGGTGTCTGGTCTTGGCCTGTACTTTGTGGACACGGGTGTCTGGTGTTGGCCTGTGCTCCGTGGACACGGGTGTCTGGTCTTGGCCTGTGCTGTGTGGACACGGGTGTCTGGTCTTGGCCTGTGCTCCGTGGACACGGGTGTCTGGTCCTGGCCTGTGCTGTGTGGACACGGGTGTCTGGTCTTGGCCTGTGCTTCGTGGACACGGGTGTCTGGTCCTGGCCTGTGCTACGTGGACACGGGTGTCTGGTCTTGGCCTGTGCTGTGTGGACACGGGTGTCTGGTCCTGGCCTGTGCTGTGTGAACACGGGTGTCTGCGAAGGCATGAAAACACTTTTATTTTCACCGAACACCCTGTCTTTCTGCCCATTTGACTACCGTTGATATTTTAAGTGAGCCAGTAAGAAACAAGACAAACTTTTTATGGATTTGTAGTTAATATTTTACATCCCTATTAGGGAATTTTTAATATTGACAAATGCGTCTGTGCTGTGGCAATCTGTGGGTCCAGCAAGGTTGGGAACCACAGAGTAGAGCATTGCCTGACCCTACAATGGGGACCTTTTTTGCGTGTGTGTGTGTAGGGGATCGGTCTGCCAAAGGGGAGTCGGGCTGGGGGTGCGAGCGGTGGTGCTGGCCCCACGCAGTCGTTCCTCGCATGCCAGCGTCAGAGCACGAGCGCGCGCCGAGCCAAACAGTCGCACGCGCAGGCGGGGCCAAGCGCAGCACGGCACTCGCACGCTTGAGGGCACGTGCTCGCTCGCACGCACACGCACGCACTCTCACGCGCACTCACTAGACAAAGATCTCCCATATAGCCTTAACAGACTGTAGGAACGAGTGCTATTAGCGGGCACCTTTGGAGGCCGGCACGGCACACAAGGGGGAGGGTGACCAACACCACGCCCGGTCGCCTCTGTCTCCCCAGTGGCAATGTTTAAACCCCACACCCGATACTCACTTGATGGTGAGTCAACCTATGGGAGGCTCAGGACCGGTTCGAATAATCGTCACTGTTGTTTGCCATTAGCGGGAATCAAACTCGGGTGGCCAGGTTCGTCACACAGCGCGCTAACTGCTACACTACCGCTCCCCACATTCACACTGTTACACACATTCTCACACACAAAATACACTCACGAACACATACCCATGCATTTCACGCTCACACATACTCAAACGCACTCACATATTAATCACATGTACCCACTCATTACACGCACAAAGACAAATGTCCCACACATAGCTTACATAGACTGTTGAGGTAACTACTATTAGCAAGCACCTATTGGGGAGTGATAGTGTATTGGTTAGCAACTAGCACTACTTACCTGGTGACCCAAGTTGGATTCCGACTGACAGGTAAAATCGGTGACAGAGAATATCTGAACCGGTCCTGGGCCTTGCCTCAGTCAACTCAGTTTTACACAAGTATCTAGTGTGGGTACGTGAACATCAGAGCTTGGGAAACAAAGGTGGTCAGGTGTAGTGCTGGCCATTTCACCTTTTTGTGCGCCGTGCCCGCGTTAATAAGTGCTCACACACACACACACGCATGAAATGTTTGCACACACAAGCACACCCACCCGCTCACACACGTTCCCATGCATTACGTTCTCATACACACATCAACAGCTACCTTTTTCCACTAGTGACAGTAACACCACTACAGAGCTTGTACTAAGTTAGGTGACTTAGATGAGCTTTGAGGCAATGTGAGAGTCAAATAGGTTCTTTAGCACACCACAAAACAGACACAGGTTATTTAGCGAGCTGGGTGACTGGCAGAGGAATTACCTGTTCCCCATACTTTTCCAGTCTGCTGTCTTGAGGCCACCTGATGATGCTTTGTGAATAATTGTCATGGGTGTCCTCTTTCCTCGATGCCGCATTGCTGCTAGAGGGTGGCATTAAAGAGCCTCAGAGACAGCTCCGCGTGGCTCGGCGGAGCTCGTATCCGGTTAGTTGTAACACTCACTTCTTGCCCAGCACATACACACACACATGCACGTAAAACTGCAAATCATTGCCATGCGGTGGCTGGATTGCTCAATAAGCTCGTGAGCCCAGTTGAGAATGTGAGATCCTCGATTCAAATCCCCAGCTGGGATTTAACCATACTGCCCGGTATTGTGAGTTTCATAGTCAACCCGGCCCATTCACCAGTAACTGCACGAAATTATTTTATTTCATTTGGTGTTGAACTAAATTGAGTATAAACTCAACTGCGGGCTGATTTTCCGGTTAAGAAGCAGAACAAACAACTTACCAAACTTCACAACTAGTAAGCTGTGTACATCTTGTGGTAAGATAGAACCTTCGGGGTGTCGAGTGAATGAGATTTCACTTCCAGGGTTGTCTTTTCTGTAGGAAGATCCCGAAACTACTCTCAATGGCAATAGTACAAATAAAACATACAGTTGTGTATAATCACAGCAGCATAATGTACTCCTGGCAGTAGCAAATTATATCTGTTGAGTTCGTACTTAACATTGTTGAACAAATGCATGGAACGGTGGGGGGGGGGGTATCTTCACTATATTTTCTTATTCTAGTGAACCAGGCACGTAATGTCACGTGCTCAGCAAGTGAGTAGTGTTGTACCAACAAGACTCGCCAATCACAAATGCACAAGTTGCACATATTGTCACTGTGTATGGCCAGGTGTGGGTGGGGATGCACACCTGCACACCTGTCATCCGGTGATTTTGAGGTTAGATTCAGTGCATAGTTCTGAGGTGGTGTGCACGATATCCACGCCCGTGAGAAGCATGGTGGTGCAGTAAATAAATTCGAGGTCGCTGATCGTGCACAGATTGACTGGGGTTTTTTCCCTCAACATTGAGGATTACTCTTACAAGAGGTGGCTAGGGGGGTAGCTTAGGATCAGGGCACTAAGCTGGCACTCCTAAGATCTGGCTCTGAATGTGTTTTTTTTCAGCCGCCTGTGTTTAAACCGGATTTTAAAGTGTTGTAATAAGTTAATGGTATCACCACGGCGACCAATGACTGCACAAAAGCCCATCCATCCTATTTGTGTTTTCATGGAATTTGGCTACAATCCAGTGATGAGGATTCAAAATATATTTTTCTGCCTGCCATGCAACAAAAATCTCTATAGCAGGGAGTGCAGGGAAGTGCAGCGAGGATAGGTCATAAAGGCATCTCAGATATCACCTTCCTCGGGCCTATTCCTAAAATACTGTGCTCCACGAGAGTTGCAAATGAAGCTTTGTCTCATGATATTGATATCAATTGGATAAAAATAATAGAGGAATTTATTATAAATGAAGAAATACTCATGCGCAAACCATTTCTGAAAATGTCTTGAGCCCAAGGCTCTCCTGGCTACACATCATGCTATGCTTTTGCTCAGTGTGTAAAACATAAACAATATTTTATTATATTTTATTACAGTCAATTCACGAAAAAGTGAGCTAATTGATGCCAATATTTGACCACTACATTCTTGAGTTTAAATAATGAAGTGAGTTTTATGGTCTATATTTGTTTTAACGTTGTGGTGTTTTGCCACTATCGGTGGCATTATTGGGATTGGTGTGTGACGCACGAGATGCGAAACATGGCGATGCGTGCCACTACGTGAACGCGTAAACACCACCGCCAATACTTGTAGCACAAATCAAAGCTCTCAGTTAAATTCCTAACTTGGATATTAGCATTTTGAATAAGCTGACATTTTTTTGATATTTTAGATTTTTTTACAAACATATATTGACCTGTGTAAGACCCCCACCCACAGGGCTATGATGTTGGTGCCTTATTAAGCAGGACTACAAGTAGGTTTCAGCCTGCCTCGGTGTGATGGAGCTTCAGTGTTATTCATTGAAATGCCTGGAATTTCTCCTTGAGAGCTCGGGTTTCCCCCCATGTACTAAAATAATCGTCACGAAAAGAATTGGCTAAACATCCCTAAGGAGGACATTTGAAACTGAGTCTTGGGACTGAGGCTTTCGTGACAAAAGTACTACGCTCATAATAGCTACGTGAGCACAGGAGTCTGATGCTCATGTTGTACTATTGGCAATGCTGTGGTTTCTGGATTTAAATCCTGTGTCACAACACTCCATTAATGTTCCTAAGTACGGCGAGTTTTATAGTGTCAGCCCAGTCATTGACGCTTACATAGTTCAACCATACTGGCTACAATTTTAAAAGGGTGTTTGCCACAGAACAATGGAGTGTGTTAGATATGCATATGAAGCTTATTGGGAAAGTGGAATAATTCGCGACGGTTAAATTGTGTCTTGCAAGGTGCAGGCAGCTCATGGTGGGAAGATTAAAATGAATGGTTGGTTATGCGTTGTCTTTGATTACCGAATTGCAATCCGTATGTGATGAGGATGCTGGAATGTCGTTTACATGAGACCGGTTGCGTGCATGCAGGGTAATGTGGTGGTAGGGCCTTGAAAGGATGCCCGCTGTATGCAGTGGGATTTTCATCCGAATCTTCACCTCCCCTATCTTGTTTCCCACATAGACTTTGCCAATCATGGCATTCGTAACCCTCGCAAATTATTTGAATTTAGTTTTTTGGGTAAATATAAATAGTTAAAATTAAGTTATTAGTAGCGGTTAAATGTTTTACTATATAGGAGCACTATAACACCCTCATATGATTTGACTTTCCTGCAATACCACGAGTTCAAATGCCATATAGATGGTATTTGTCCATTAAACATGGACTGCAATACCGGAGAAATAGCATTGTGTGGATTTTTGCAACGAACCACTTTGTCGAGATTCATGTTGAAACCTCTTGCGGCCGTGCGGATGAGGTCACGCATCGTTCACCAGCCTCGTGGTGAAATGTCAACATGGGTTTGTGCAGAGACGTCAATCAAACTGGGTAAATTAATCTTCATGATGTAATTAATGTACACCCCTTAGTTTACATGCATACTTGTTTTTTTATCTTATTTTTTGACATAGGCTGAGCAGGAAACGTGTGCCTGGTTCAATTGAGCTCTTTGGCAAGGCCAGGAGTCGGGAACCAAAATAACAGGAAGAGTAAATTTTTCGAATTCAGTAAAAAAAAACCTCAATATTTCAAGAGCCGCAAAGCATTGTGATCCTTAATAAATAACGTCATGAAGCAGTCCTTAAAGGGCCGCGTGTTGCTCCAGAGCCGCAGGTTGCCGAAACCTGGGCCAGGCCGTCCAAGAAAGAGTGTAGAGCAGGGATCAGGTTTGATGCATTTCTTCCCTGCTGTGTGAATTGGCCATAATGGCTCGGAAATGTACAGCTTTGTTGAAAATAGTTAATCAACAACGTTGCAGTGTTTGAACGTAAGATGGTTTATGCGATGTGAACATTTAAAGTCCAGAGGTTTTGCCGTGTAACTTTACCATCCACTGAGCAGGGCTGCTTAGGGGTCACACAAGAATGAGAAGTCCATTTGAAGGCACTTCAGCTCTTAATTCGCGCAGTGCACCATTACAGCGATGTTAACATTTATCATCAGATTCGAAGCTACATGTAAATTTGAGTTACTTGTTATTCCTACATTTTGTTGTTAACTTATTTCCGATGTCTTAATGAGAGGCCATAAGATTGTCTTAAAGAGAATCCGAGGCCGAGGTGAACGTTTGACCTCGAATTGAGCTGACAGCAGGAGGCTGCAGTGGTTTCAGCTCATCCCATCGGAGGCTCGCGGCGTGTTCCGACTCGGCGCACTGCGATATTCACACCCGGCCAGCTTCAGCCAACTTGGTCCCACTGCAACACACCCCGAATTCTGCCATCACATGGTGGACAAACTCCAGGAATTGTCCCAAATTCCTGAAGTACAAGTGTTTCCTGTGTCGTGTCCATGCATAATTCTACAATGTGTAACATAGCTTTACCTAATGAGTCTCATGACATTTTAAGACTATACATTAGTTTAAGGGCTGCCTGTTTTTTTGTGCTAAGGAATGGCAGACATAGTTGAATAAAATTGGTTTCTAAACATAACTCTTGGTGTGACAATTTTCTACATAGCGTATATGTAAACTGTATAGGAGGAAAGGAAATAATGAAAGGTGTCTCTTGGCCTTGTGTTGGCACGAAGATCCAAGCTGGGCTGGGTTAAATTCAAATTGATGCTCCTAGGGGTGCCCGCTCTGAATTTGTTAAAGATATTAGTGGCCCGAGGCCATTTTACTTTTGAAATGCTCAGATTCATATTCATTTTGTATCTGCGAATAAGAATGTGTGAAGAAGTCAACTTCACCGTCGGATGATCTCCAAGTCACGTGGTCCCTAAACACGCTGTCATTTCCAGGACTTTCTCGTCAAATTGCACTCCATTGCTGTACTTGTTCAATGTCCCTTCTCAGAAATAATGATATCAGTACATCTGTTAACAATAGAGAGCAATGTGTTGCTGATCTTTAACATATTCTTGATGCTCGGCGTTGTCCCCCATCGGGGCAGTGCTCGCTAATCAGCCAGGTCCAATGCAGGAACAGCTTTGCTTTTCTCCACTTCCGTCACGCCTCACCCACATCCTATAAAATACGAATCACATTCCTGCACCAACCAAAACATTTACACTCATACAGGTAATATAAGTCCTCATTGCATAAGGCACTTTGGGAGTAAATTATACGTTGCATAGCTGGTGCCTTGCCTACACCATGCACAGAATTCTCTCCGGCGCCTTCCGACGCGGTCGGCAACCGTGTCACAATGCATTGCTCCACGTGGTTGTGAATAAGATGAGTGTCGCTGCAGAGAAATATGTCACAAACCGTCAAGTCCAGTAGACATTTTAAAGTTGTCTTTTTATTGAGTGCTTGCATGTGCTCGGTGGGTGGGAGTGACGTTACACAGAAAGACAGTTGCCATTCATTGTGTTATGACAATTGGCAGACAAGAGGAGGGAAGCCTGAGACTGCATTTGTTTGCATTCTCACCACGGTAACCGACACTTGAAACGCGCAATGCATCATGCGGTCTCAGAGCCGCAACGGAAATAGGCATGGACTCTCATTGAGCAAAGACACTCATCAATCACGACACTTAAAACTCATTTCCGGATTCACGTGTTTTTCTCTCACTTCAATAGTTTACACAGTGGCATGTTGCTACAGAAAAAAAGCAGGGAGCGCGACACAGCGTGGCTCTCCGCGATCTCTCGGGGAGCTAGGTACTGCCTAAGCGCCAGTGGCTGACAGCTGACACCCCCCCCCCCCCCCTTCACTCGAGCCAACCACCCTCTCAGCCCCTCGTCCCACAAGATAGAACCCTGCCTCTGGTCACAGGACGTAACCCTTAAGAGACAGGGAACGGGGCCCCTGGTGACCACGGGGGGCTCTCAACATAAGGTGCTGATGTCCGACTTTGAGCAGCCCCAGTGGCAGCAGATAGACGCGAGGCCTGCTTTGGTGGCCCTGTCTCCGCGCTGCAGGCCCTGGGGCCCAGGAAGGTGAAGCCAGGGAGCCCCAGGCTCGGGGTCCCCGGAGGGAGAGGCGGCCGCCTTGGGGCCCTCTGCTTGCAGGGAGCTGGACTCGCCCCACAGGGACCAGGGATCAAACTCGTCCGAGGTGTCTCCCCGAGTGGAGGTGTCTGCAAAAACAACAAGGACATATCCCCCGTGTGGTCTCAACAGACTGTTGGGGCAAGTGTTGTTTAGCAAGCACATTCAGACCTGAACGGCACATGAGGGGGTGGATCACCAGCACCACGCCTGGCCACCTTTGTCTCCCCAGTGCTGATCACACTATATACTTATATGAGGCTGAGCCAATCTAGGGGTAGGCTCAGGACCAGTTCAGATCGTTGCCACTGGTGTTAGCCGTGAGCGGAAATCAAACTGTGATCATCGGGTTCGTAGCGCAGTGCGCTAACCACTTCACTACCACTACGCTTGTGCTCTCACACATACGTACGTACAGTGTACGAGTGCAAATGTCTCAGAATAACTGCACAGCCTTTTATGAATCCACTGCTGAATGAAAGCCTCCCCATGCTGTGTCGGTCGTGGGTATTTTTGGCCATACTTCACCACACTGGTCAGTGTGGGTTGGTTGGAGGGTGGAGAGCAGGTGCAGTCTAGATGTCACACGAGCTGGGTTCAAAGGGATAGAACCCAGCTCGCCAGGCCCATGGCACAGTGTACTAACCACTGTCATAGGAATGTGTAATTTGTTGCTATGCTGTGTTGTCAGCACCCTCGCAGAGATGAGGAGCAGCCCTGCTCACAGGAGCAGCCCTGCTCACAGGAGCAGCCCTGCTCCTGTGTGGACACGTGGTCTCTGGTATGCGGCCCCTTGAACATGCCGTGGAGAAGACTCACCTTGGTGTGCTGTGTGCAGACCACCACTCCCGACTGTGAAATCACAGGAATAAGTCTTGGCTTAAGGAAAACATTGATCTTGGCATTAAAAAGAAAATGTAATAAGAATCACAGACTGAATTCATCTCGTTTACATTCAGAGAAGTGTCGTTTATCTTCGGGTTTTTTTTGTCAGAATGCTTCAGGGAATTTAAATTGCGCTGTGCTTTCTTGAAATGCCGCACATTGCATTTCAAAATATATATTAATAGGGTTTTCCCCTTTTTTCTGGCAACAAAACAGGTGTTAAGATGTTAAAACATCAAACTGAAACCTTTTACAAGGAATCATGTCTGCATTAACCACAATGCTTGTGGTCATAATGCAAACAAAAAACATACTCTGATAATATATGCATTCTCTTTGGTTCTATTGGGTAAAGTCACGTAGGTGAAAATAAAATAACAAAAAATCACGACGTTTCGGCCACAACACAAGCGGCCTTCATCAGGTGAAGGGATGAGACTGTCTGGAGGACAGCGCTGGAGTGGGAGAAGCCACGCTTAGATCACGACCTTTAAGTTGCGTGAGAAGAAAAAACACCAAGCGCCTTGACAAAGGAATTAGCATATAATTTAGCATTGAAATGGCTCATTGAAATAGCTAAGTTAAAGTATACAATCCGCAGAGGTACCCCTTGACAAAGGAATTAGCATAGAATTTAGCATTGAAATAGCTGAGTGATTAGCTTGTAACTGGTCACAGAAATAGCTATGTTAAAGTCAGAGCATATACATTCACCGAGGTACCTAGTACTCATCAAACAGGAGAATTTAGCGAAACACAACCACGCTCAGACAGCGGACCTTTAAATTGTGTGCGAGCAAACAAGGTGTTCTGACAAAGAAATTAGCATAAAAATTAGCATTTGATTGGCGGATTTTAGGAAAGAGGTGGTGTACGTGCCGTTTGGCGAGGGGGGGGGGAAGGGGGGGAGGGGGAGTTTACCTATTGATGGTGTGAAAAGGGAATTTATAAGAGCTGCGAAAGTTTGGGGTACCACTACTTGAAAAATATACTGTACCATTGAAATTAGTTTAATGTTTAGTTCGATTTAGAACATCTTTCCAATGGTTGCTTAATTTGAAACCATCCTCTCGGTTGAAATTGTGTCTGTGTTTGTAGATCTGAATTGCTTCATGAACAAATCTCTGATAAAAGCCCGTGGGTTTGCAAAGAACCTTGGTATCGGAGAAAATTATATCGTGATCCCCCACAGCGTTGTAACAGTGATCAGCCACGGCAGAAGAATTCGTTTTGCCGTGTTTCAAATCTGATTTGTGCTCGCGAATTCGGTCAGAGACATGTCGCTTTGTCTCACCGATATAGCAATCACCGCAGGTACAACTCAATTTGTAAACCCCGGGGTACTGTAAATCAGGAATGACATCCTTCACGGATGGGATCAGATCACGAATTTTGTGTACCGTATTGAACCGGACCTGGATCCTGTGTTTGTTTAGAATTTTGGAAATCTTTTTAGTAACGCCTGCTATATATGGAAGTGTGATGGTTTTGACCGGAGTATCAAGTGGTTGTTTCTGTATGGAGGGAGAGACAGCTTGGCGGATGGTACGGTCAGAGTAACCATTCCTTATGAGGGCCAGGTGTACATGTTTTAATTCACTGGTCAGGTGGTGTTGGTGCGAAATGCAATGAGCCCTATGGTATAAAGTTTTGACGAGAGAATTATTTGGGGCTGGGTGGTGGTGGGAATCAGGTTTCAAGTAGGAATCTGTGTGGGTGGGTTTCCTGTAGACAGAATGCCCCAATGAGCCATCAGGTCTCCTCTCAAACAGAACATCTAAGAATGGTAGCTTGCCATCTTTCTCCACTTCCATGGTGAATTTGATGGCGGGATGTCTGGAATTGACCATCAGGTCTCCTCTCAAACAGAACATCTAAGAATGGTAGCTTGCCATCTTTCTCCACTTCCATGGTGAATTTGATGGCGGGATGTCTGGAATTGACCATCAATTGGTAAACTCCCCCTCCCCCCCTTCCCCCCCTCGCCAAATGGCACGTACACCACCTCTTTCCTAAAATCCGCCAATCAAATGCTAATTTTTATGCTAATTTCTTTGTCAGAACACCTTGTTTGCTCACACACAGTTTAAAGGTCCGCTGTCTGAGCGTGGTTGTGTTTCGCTAAATTCTCCTGTTTGATTAGTACTAGGTGCCTCGGTGAATGTATATGCTCTGACTTTAACATAGCTATTTCGGTGACCAGTTACAAGCTAATCACTCAGCTATTTCAATTCTATGCTAATTCCTTTGTCAAGGGGTACCTCTGCGGATGTGTATACTTTAACTTAGCTATTTCAATGAGCCATTTCAATGCTAAATTATATGCTAATTCCTTTGTCAAGGCGCTTGGTCTTCTTTATCCTCTCACACAGCTTAAAGGTCGTGATCTAAGCGTGGCTTCTTCCACTCCAGCGCTGTCCTCCAGACAGGCTCGTCCCTTCAACTGATGAAGGCCGCTTGTGTTGTGGCCGAAACGTCGTGATTTTTTGTTATTTTATTTTCACCTACGTGACTTTACCCAATAGAACCAAAGAGTATGGATCCTAGCAGTCACGAAAGCTTTAAATCTAGAATATATGCATTGTCCTTGATTGGTCCACACCAGAGACAGCTTTCTTTTGAGCCTCGTCTCAAACGGTGTTAGACCAGAGGACACTAAAAGGCGAACAGCCCAAAGACAATGCACTATCAGAGTAATGAGAGCTCGGGGTGAGCATTTACATCATGGGACCTCCTTTGCCAGTACCATAATATGATAATAGGGTTTTCCACTTTTTTCTGGCAACAAAACAGGTGTCCAGAAAAAAGGGGAAAACCCTACTATCATATTTTGGTTCTGGCAAAGGAGGTCCCATGATATAAAAATATATCTTTTTATATATATTTTTTACCTTCAATTTATTTTATTTAAGCTACCGGCAACATCCGCTGGACATCTCTCAACAACGTGCCCATGCAGAGATGTACGCACACGCAAGGGATGTTTTCTCTTGCGCCCTGTGTTGCCTTCACATCGCAGAGGGTGCATTATCCCACCCCATCTATGATATTGTCGCGTGCCAATGAAATCGATATTTGTATTTATTACATCTGGTATTCATGCAAATCAAGTGGAAAACGAATATATTGTGATTGTTTTTTTAAAGTAATTGATAGCTGAGTTCAGACCATCAAGTCACTATGCCAGAGAACCCGGGTTTACTCACTGCTGGCTGAAGCCCAGGTTATGAATCACGTCATAGCAGTGCAGTGCGCACCGATCGGGAACGTTCCTCTCTATGCACGTTGCTATGTTGCTTGCCATAATTAAGTTCAGCTTTTTCAAACTTGCTTCTTGTCCGCCTTTTTATTGTATCTTAAAAATGTTGGTCTGCCTTCAATCGCTGTCCTTGGTGCACGTAATATTTTTGTATTTTCCAATTTTATCCATCATAGATTGTACACGACCTTTGTTTTGCTCAATCTGCATTTATCCTGCGCCATACTTTGAGCATTGTTTATTTGATTATTTAAGGATATCCTGCAGTTCATTTCCATTGGACATAACGACCATTTCTTCAGAAAATTGGAAACGTTCAGTGTTATTTTCCAGTCTCATTATTATCTTCTGTCACTGGGAATACATTTGGTGAAAGCATATAATTGCTTGTGCGTCTTTTGGTACTTTTTCCATGCAATCTTCGTGCTGCTCGTCTACTTTTGTAAATTGTTTATATTACTTTAAAACGTTTTTATAGACCTGGGTTTGTGACTGCGTTGAAGACTGCACTGGCACATAGGGAGCACGGATGATATCCGCCTTACAAATCTAAATTATTATTGCATCTATTTGATCAAAGTAGAATGCTTTTTCATAGTCTACAAGGCCAGGCAGGCACAATGGTAATTCAAACTTTACCATAATGTGATTTGTAGTATGTAGCCGAAAGCTTAGAAAACCTTACCTTAACCATGATTGCAATTGGGGATTAGTGGCCTCCAATTTGATTGTTATTCTGTTCCAGATGACCTTCATGAGAAATTTACTGTATATATACACACAATAATAGGCCAATAGGTATGTAGTTCAAACTAGATTTGGTGCTTTCGTGACTGCAGGAATTAATCTTAGTTTTTTTCGGTAAAGTCACGTAGAAATAAGAAAAAATAAAATTACATAACATACGACGTTTCGATTGCAACACAAGCAATCATCATCAGGTAGAGGAAACATAACCGCAGATATATATACAGACCTTAAGTAGAGGGAATTAACACAGATAAACCAGGGGATACAGAGAGACGGAGCATCACACTAAATAAAACAGGGTTTAGCAAAATTTGGAAACTATATAAATCAACACAGACGGTCGGTTAAAACACAATTAACGCATGGTCTGGTTGAATACGCTATTTCAAAGATTGTTAAATTGTAAGTTAAGTGTGAAATTTAAGATAGTGATAGAATACATACCGTAGAGAGACCTATGGGGGGAGACACGCACACAGTTAAGAGGTAAAGCAGCTATGTACCGAGGCCTTAAATAGCTAGAGATGGAGGGGCTGGGACTCAGAGACAATGGGACACAAATTAGCATGATATAAGTTGTCAGGCACACAGAGAGGGCGCCGCAGCGCACACTTAGAGACACCCAGGTACACAACTATAGGTAGAGACAACACAGCGACATAAACCCAATTCAAGACACAAAGGCAGATACACCAACAGAGAACACAAAGACACAGATTTCATACCTCCCCGAAGAGGTGGTTCAAATCTAGTTTGAAGAGGTGGTTCAAACCTCTTAACTGTGTGCGTGTCTCCCCCCATAGGTCTCTCTACGGTATGTATTCTATCACTATCTTAAATTTCACACTTAACTTACAATTTAACAATCTTTGAAATAGCGTATTCAACTAGACCATGCGTTAATTGTGTTTTAACCGACCGTCTGTGTTGCTTTATATAGTTTCCAAATTTTGCTAAACCCTGTTTGATTTAGTGTGATGCTCCATCTCTCTGTAACCCCTGGTATATCTCTGTTAATTCCCTCTACTTAAGGTCTGTGTATATATCTGCGGTTATGTGTTTCCTCTAGCTGATGATGATTGCTTGTGTTGCAATCGAAACGTCGTATATTATGTAATTTTATTTTTTCTTATTTCTACGTGACTTGACCGAAAAAAACAAAGATTAGGTATGTAGTTCTTGAAGTCAGTTTTTACCTATTATGATAAAATAATGAATTGGGTATATCAAACATGACATATTGTGTCATATTTGTGTTGTGTTCTCTGATTTGTTTTATCCATTTCCTAATTACCCTGCAGAGTTCTAGGCTATTCAATCTCAGTTTCACATCTCCGTCTCTTCTCACATTGCGTCTCAACCTCAGCATGCGTTTTATGGTCATCTCCCAATTAACTATGAATGCCCTCATACTGTACATTGTTTCCGATGTATGTATGTTGAACTTCTTTCGCACCGTACGTAGCCAACCGCGCTAATCGGAGGTGCAGGGAAAGACAGCAAACTAAACACATGAAGCAGTTCTAAAGAAATTAGTTTTAAATCTACATTTAAAAGTGCATGAAGCTCCAGTGGCTTCCTCTGCCCTCTGTAGTCCTCACCTGTGTTTCACACCCTCCTCCACTCCTTCCAAACCCATTAAATCACCATAACCAGATGTCGGCAAACCAAAATAACAAGAAGAGCGATTTTTTTTCGTAATCGGTAAAAAAACCCTCAATATTTCAAGAGCCACAATGCACGTGAATACGAGACGGTAGTCCTATATAAATAACGGTCACGAAGCGGTCCTTAAAGAGCCGCATGTGGCTCTGGAGCCAGAGGTTGCCGACCTCTGGCCATTACCGGCCACTTGTACCCCCCACCCCCGCTACCAGCCACCCCTGTAGAGCATCTACAGATGTGATCGGATTTAGTCGTTATATCATTTCTGTTATTTCACAGCCCTTTGTCATTAAATTGCTGGAAGGCATCCCCACGCTTAGTTGGTCTTGGGAGATTTGACTATACTTCACGCTGGTCAGTGCGGGTTGAAAGAAGGGACCCAAGACTGGTTCAGCTGTCACATGCCACTGATGTTAGCAATGGCTGGGAATCCAGCTCAGGTCGCTGGGAATGTATTGCAGTTAACTAACCACACGTCCCACTGCTCTGCCCATTTGCATGCTCTATGAATGAATGACAGTAATCGCTGCAATGAATACAAGCACAAACAACACCAAGGGGCTTGAACCCAGCCGTTGGTTCCTTTTCACTTCTGATACTCAAAGGGCCACTAGTTGGTTTTACCGCATAGATGTTGTCTGTTACCCCTTTGAATTGAATTATTGGAGATTTTGCTGCTGATGATGTTAGCATTTTGTCGGTGTAGCTGTATGGCAATGTTGATGGCATTGCTGATGATGTTGAACGTATTCATAATAGTGCTGCAGATGTTGATGGTAATAGTGTAAATGGTGATGGTATCAATGTTACAGTAAATAATATTTTCAATATTATTATGCTTGTTTACCCAGCTAAGCCTCAATGAGTCTCACGAATTTTTCAAGAGAGTCTTGCCAACATTGACCCCATTATTAGGGGTGTAACAACAAATATAGTCAAGTTCACAATGGACGTATTTAATTTCGTTTGCAGCAACACGTTTCGATTGTACAATGTGTTTTACTTGCTTCACATAACCCAGCCACTACTTTCACCACAATGGAAAACAATAGATTCGCCAATCAAAACGCAACTGAGAATTGTGACGATTGGTGAATTGCGAGGGGGGCAAATCATCACTCCCACGCTACTCATGGAGTGGTCGATGATGACAAAAACATAAACAATAAGAGAGAACGATTAGAGGAGCGAAAGGTAGCAACACTGTTGGAGAAGGCCCAAGAGATGGCTCTGGTGGTTTGGAAGTGTGTCTCGATTGGATCCAGAGAGAATACCAGACATGGCATTGCAACAGAATCACACAGAACAAGATCGTGAGGAAGAGCTACAGATGCACTAGATCGACAAAGTGAAAAATGATCTCGAACAAAAAGGGCAACAAGAAAGCCGTGAAACTGATGCATGCAAAAGAGGTGGAAATATCTAATTCGGCCTCGTCGTCTCTTAACCCAAGACAGAAGCCAACTAATGAAGAAGATGATGACTATGAATGACATTGCGGTGCTATTGCCGATGAAGTTGTGCATGGGCCAAACCTCTCCTCCATCTGGAGCCCCCGCAGGTGAAGATCACCGCGCGGATGAACTCGCGCCCGCACAGCTTCACCCCAAGGCGACCGCCCTCGGCACCACCGTCCAGTCCAGCCAACACCACGATGCACGCCGCAGCCAGGATGGCAAGTAGCTTCATGTTTGTGTCTAAACAGTTTTAATCTAATAATAACAACCTCCTAATCTCTTATTCTGAAATTCTTACAATTGTTAAATGCTAGATATTTGAGGCTGACCCAAAAAAAAACTATATTTAATTTCAGGGGTTTTATTTCAAAAATAAAAACTAATAACGTAAGAGTAAAACTGCAAGATTACAACTGGGGTGGCCGGAGTGTGAAGCCTCTTTCAAGCTACCTATGGCTGTGATCTCTGAGTACCTGTATTTATACACCTAACTCGCTCGACCAACACTATCAGACGTAAAGGCTTTATTTTTTAAGTGACATTTTGCAAATAATTAAATAATGCAAGTTGACAACCGCTCTGCAAGGCGCTTTACTTGAAACGCCCATACGGTTCTTCACTTGACATGGCCGTGCTTGTATCAGGAAAGCTATGGGCTTCACAACCATGACCTTTATGCCTTGGTGATAGACGCAATCCCTTTGTGTTGTATGCAAGGATTTTTCTCATCAACTCTTTTGGAGATGGAAGGAATTAAAATATAAAATAAATTTACTAACGATTGCAGTTAAGTTTGCATTGTTCAGCATGATTGATGCATTTATTTGCATAGATAAGTGTGGCCTTCATTAACGCTGCACCATTTAACCTTTCTGCCAGCCACCCAGCTAGAGGTCACTGTGATGGGCGATTATGTCACGTCAATGAGTCTTTGTTCCACATCTGCGCTAAAATTGTAAATTAAGTTTTCAAATTAAACACTGATTTTATTGTCTCTTTATTTATTATATTGCCTAATTTATTTAGCTTTACTTTTGTATAAGACATTCAGACTTAAAGTTCAGATTGACCTGCGACTACATTGTGTCACACACGTAGATGTGCGTCATGCCAGTAAAGAGTGTTGGGGCAAATTCTGATAACAAGCACTTGTTAAGGTTGGCATGAGTGGCAATGCAGCCAGCAGCACATTATAGGAAATATTGAAGATAATAAAATGTATAAAGCATCTAAATACTACAAACATCTCTAAGACACTTTACATGTAAAAATATGAATATAAACAGTGCAATAAGACAAAACCTAGCCACGGCTGACGACAGTGTCGCTCCCTCAAATTCAACTCATCAATGGCCCCACCATCAGTCTCTCAAATCTCTTGAAAATCCTCATTATCACCTCGGACTCCACTCACTCGACAAGCACGTCAACGCAATAAAGACACCCTATGTTTACTACAGCCACCACAAACAATAGCTTTCCACGTGGTCAGCACTCGCGTTGATTGTTGCAGCATCATCCTTCCTTGGACATCAGTGGCTTCAAAACCAATGGGTCACGTGCTGCCCTGGGCATTCGGTGCAGCCATATGGCTCCTTGGCTTCGCTCCGAACCTTGCACTGGCTCCCCATCAAATCAAACAGTACAATATCACTATCCTGTGCCACCAATCTCTCTCTCAACGTTTCACCACCAATATCTCTCTACCTTTCTCATTCCACTGACCACAGCAAACCGCTGTGTCCTACGGAGCACATCTACAAATTCTGCTCATTGTACACAGAACCAGGACTGACCTGGGTGAGCAGCGTCTCTCCGTAGCTGCACTAGCAGCCGTCTTGAACTCTCTCCCACTCTGCACCCGCAGCAGCATCCAGGCACCATTGTCCACCTCCAAGCAGCAGCTCAAGACTCGCCTGTTCAGGTGCTCGCCTGTCCAAAGTCAAAATGGTTTCTTACTCAAATGAGCATTGAAAGGAGGTGCTCCTCTGTTTACAGCCCGAAGCTGATGGTTGATCTTTCACATTCATATGGCGGGGGTGAGCCTATCCATAGGTGACCATTGTTGACTCCGGATTACAGCTCGAATTTAGAGTCAGAGGAATTTGGAGCAATGACATCCACTCTTGTGCGGGTGCTAAATAAATTGTTCCCTCACAAATCTATGAGATTGCATAGGAAGGCCATCTTGTCACATGGATCATGGCGGATTCTGGTTTTGACAGAAATTGATGTTCATGCTTATCAGTGGAATCAGGCTTCATTTCTTCAAATTGGATGCTACCGGTCATAACTGAGCACAAGAGCCAACTCATTAATCAGCCAAGAGACCCTCCCCCCCCCCCCCCAAATTATGTGCCCCAGTTAATTTAATTTAGAATATGTGTACAGTACTGTATACTGTACCATGAATTAGAAAACTGCCAATACATGCAAATTTCAACAATGCGACTGAACATTTAATTTTAGAGGCAACTTTCTATAAGTATGCTCCTTTAAGAATGAATTCCAACATTTCTTCTCTGATCCTGGCATACTTTGAAGAAATAAAGATAATTTTAAGGAACTAGCTGATTACTAAAGCATTTAAAGAATGACATCTAATTGCTTCAGGGATCAAATAAACAAAGCTATTCATGAACATTAGAGCTGCTGCCAAACCTGGAGGCTACTAAAATGTCTGAACACAAACTACTCCCAGTCCTATTTATGATCATGTCTCCCTTTCTTATCTGTCCCTACGTATAAAATGTTTTAATTTTTTTCTCACATCTGATTTATTTTGTTACATAAATTCGCCACGACACTCATCATCATTGTATTTAAAGAAATGCATGGCGACAACGCTACAATTGATGTTGAGTTACATTTGGACAGCATTAATGCTTCCAGTATTATGTTATGCCAGCTCAACAACCGAGCTGAGAGGAGCGAGGTTCATGGCTGCTGTTGATGTTGGCGCCATTAACCATGATTCCTCGGTACCATGAATGAACATAATCCCAAAAAGTGTTTTCATGGATGGGAGGGTGCAGTGAGTCACAGGCGGTGTTATAAAATTGTATGTGTACCCTGCCAGTTCCGAGAGGATCAAGCACGGGGCTTGGGCCCTGGGCCACAGCAAAAGTTTGTGAACTGCACCCACTGATAGAGCAGGAGATAAAAGCTGGGCTATTTGTGTGGACCAGTCATTGATGTTATCTGTGTACACAAATCGATGGGACTTCATGGCAGGCAAATCATTAATGTGTGGAAAATAGTTTTGGGTGAGCACTGAGTCCTGTAGCAAAACATGTTTTTCCATTCACAATAAGCTGATCTTGGTGTTCATGCATGCAGAGACACAGCAACCATCAAGAAGAAGCGCATTGATGCCCACTTGTGAACTGTGGTAGGACCTTAGCAGTAGGCCAGTGTACCAGGTCATGTCACTTGCCGTTATGACAGATATACAGACGATAACCTATTCATCCCAAGCAATCTGGCTTTTGATAACAATACAGCACAGCCTCTGCAGTAGCCGATACCTTTGACTTGATCTTCACCAGTCTTGTATCTCGTCGCCATTGTGAAATCTTGTTCCTCGACCTGTCCAAACCACTTGCTACTGTGGACGATAATGTTACAAAGACTAAAATGCCCCAAAAAAATCAAAGTGTACAATCAACTGGGTTCACAGCTACTTGTCTAACCGGTTCCAACTGGGCTCCATGATGTTTTCGTTAAAGACCCCCATTACTAAGGGTGTTGCGCAAGCCTCCATACTGTTCTCCCTGTACTTGAATAATCAACGTATCTCCAAGGTGCACTCTAGCATTCATCTCACTGTTGATGACACAGCCGTGATTACCTCTGGGAAGTGAATGAATTAATGATTTACAACTACAGCTACAACAGGCCTGTGATGATCTGCAACACCAGCTAAATGCATTAAATTTAGTCCTCACTGCTAAAAAGACCAAAGTCATGTTGTTCTCCTGCTTGTTCCCTGTCATCTTGTTCTCTCGCTAACTCACTCACCTAGTGGACAGGAGATCGTGCGTTCAATCCCGACCCTTGACGCCTGTATATGTTGAGTTTGCATGTCTACCCCGTGGTCGTGTGGCTTTTTCTCCGGGTCCACTTGCTGGGTCTTTCTCTCCCCCTGCCGTCGCGGGGTGGATTTCCACACAGCTCTCATTGATATGCTCATGTCTCTGCTCCTGCAGACCCACCTCTCTCTCTGCCCCCCCTCTCTTTTTATTTAAGGCCACGACACAGAGGCATTGGGCTCTGTGTGTCTACGTTGTGTCTCTTTCTGTCACTGTGTTGTCTATCTCTGCTTGTGTCTGTCTGTGTTTTGTTTCTCAAATTGAGTTCTACCTGATGATGATTGCTTGTGTTGCAATCGAAACGTCGTATTATATTATTTAATTTTTCTTTCTACGTGACTTTACCGAAAGAACCAAATAGTAATTCCTGCAGTCACGAAAGCTTCAAATCAAGTTTGAAGCATATAGGCGTTATCTCGGATTAAAACTGTCCTTCAAGGTTTACATCAATCATATGGCCACAAGAAAACACTAATTGGATTACTCTACAGAAAGAAACAGTATCTCACCTCAGCTCCGTCTTGAAATAGTCAAAGCCGCCATCTATGACTATTGCGACATCATCTACCACCTAGCCTCTGAAACCGCTCTAAATGTCTCGTTCTCTTGCACCACTCGGCGCTCCGCTTTCGCATCGACACCCCCTATAGAATGCACCATTGCAATCTCGGAATCACCCCCAAATTGTCCTCCCAAGACATGTGAAGAGACCACCACTGGGCTGTCTTCAGTCAAAATTTATTTTTAACAAATCGTCCAAAGAGCTAAGTGCCACAACCTCAGCAGTGCCTCCCTGCTGTTCTTACTAAAAATAGCGGCTAAAAGGAAGTTTGGCGACGCGTAACGTGCGGCTGCTGCTGTCCACGTTGCTGGAAGCCTTCGCCTCTCAGCTCAGGCTCGGCTCCCTCCCCCGTTCCCAATCGCTCCTCGCACAGAACGTGGAGAGCGGCTGCGGCTGCTTCTGCACCCAACCCAATTTGTCGTCGTCGCTCTGCGCGTCCCTGCCATGGTTGTTTTCATCACTCGAGCGCTCTCCCTCCTGTCAAACCGCACACCTCCTTGTTGGTGTGCGTGTTTACAGTATTTCGTCAATATTGTTTTTTTTGTTATTACTTACACAATGTTTTCCTGTTACTCTGTACGATTCACTTAGATGTTTGTTTTGTGTGCTGGCGAATCAAAGTTATCGTGATTCCTTGCAAACTAGCTGGGTGACTGGATAAACTGGACTTACACATAACTATTGCGTGAATGATGACAGTGCAGGATAGTGGCTTTCAGGCCACGCCAGTCTCGCATGCACGACCTCCCCTGGGCTGATGTGGGTGCGTTGATGAGGTACCTGCTCATCCCATCTGCACTGTTTTATCTTGGGATGGGGTTTCTCGTCATTTCGAGGTTTTAATAATCCTTTCCGCCTGCCGGTCACATTGACGATTGTTTATTTTTTCTGCGATCTCATTTGTTTTTTTGTCCCCCTCTATCCCTTGGCCTGACCCTTCTGAACATTGCGCGACCTCTCCTACCGCGTCCAGGAACCTTCAACGCTGCCGCCACCTCCTGTCGCTGTCCTTGGGCCTCGCCTGCAGCTTGCTCTGCCCAGGAGCTCGTTGTTGGATGGCAGTGGGCGCCCTTCCACCCCTGAGATTCAACTCATTGATAGTAGTCATGGAATTACGTCTCATTTTCCTCTTCAAAAAGATCAGTTACCATTATGACTACCCTGTGTAGACGACAAAGGCATTTGAAATCGATGCAGTCATCCAAGCAGCTATCATCATTAGCCATGATCAGTCCACAGCTGGATGAACGCCTTCCAACTGTTGTGGGGCGGTGACGTTGGCCTCGCGGTAGCTCGCGTTGCAGAGGTTTGTGGTTCTAATCCGACGGCCGTCCTGATTAATACTGCGAGAGGTTGGGGGGGGGGCATCAACCTGACTGATGCTACTCGCCGCCTGCTTCACGGCGAACGTTAAATATCCCGTGACGTCTTTCTTTCTAAACGAGCAAGCCACTGTGTGTCGGGCGTAACGGGCCAGATATTTGAAAGAAAAAAAGTACATACAGAGACATCGCCTCCTACTGCGACAAATTGGCAGATTGAAAAAGCCCTCCTGGGTGAACGAGCGTCGTGATCACAGAGGAATGATCACGGGGTGTTTTCTTTATGCAAATTTATTGCAATTGGTTTGCGACAAAAAAACGTGTTTCGTGACGTCTCCCGCGTGTCTGCAAAATTGACGTAACCGCGGGCGTGCCCGTAGAATGACGTCACTCGCCAACCATCGACGACGAGGTCGCAGGTAAACATTTGCATGACTTCACCGGCCCCCGCCACCGCGTGGCTCGTGACGTCACCGCGGGTGGGCGCGCATCACGTGGCCGGCGCGGGGGAGCGCGCGCACGAGAGACGCAGAGAGAGGGAGCAGCGGTGAAGTAGCCAGCAAGCAGTACGACAGCAAGCAGTACTACAGCGAGACGACACAGCGAGCGGTACTACAGCGAGCAGTACTACAGCGAGACGACACAGCGAGCGGTACTACAGCGAGCAGTACTACAGCGAGACGACACAGCGAGCGGTACTACAGCGAGCAGTACTACAGCGAGACGACACAGCGAGCGGTACTACAGCGAGACGACACAGCGAGCGGTACTACAGCGAGCAGTACTACAGCGAGACGACAGCAAGCAGTACTACAGCGAGCAGTACTACAGCGAGACGACACAGCGAGCGGTACTACAGCGAGCAGTACTACAGCGAGACGACAGCAAGGAGTACTACAGCGAGACGACACAGCGAGCGGTACTACAGCGAGCAGTACTACAGCGAGACGACAGCAAGGAGTACTACAGCGAGACGATACAGCGAGACGACAGCAAGCAGTACTACAGCGAGACGACAGCAAGCAGTACTGCAGCGAGACGACACAGCAAGTGGTACTACAGCGAGACGACACAGCAGCAGTACTATAGCGAGTATACACAGCAAACAGTACTACAGCGAGACGACACAGCAAGCGGTACTACAGCGAGACGACACAGCAGCAGTACTATAGCGAGACGACACAGCAAGCGGTACTACAGCGAGACGACACAGCAGTAGTACTATAGCGAGTGTACACAGCAAACAGTACTATAGCGAGAGTACACAGCAGTGCGGTAGAATAGCGGCAGTTCACAGGAGTGCAACAGTGGTCGTACACCAGCATAGCATAGAAGTAGACGACTACGATCGTACAGCAGCGCTGTTGCGGGCGAAGCAGACGCGGCAGCAGGAAGCGGGCGCAGGGAGATGGCCGAGCCGCCGCCGTCCACGCGCGGAGTCAACGACAGCGGCCTCCCCGAGGTGACTGCTGCCGCCGCTACTGCTGCCGCCGCTACTGCCGCTGCTACTCCCGCTACTGCTGCCGCTACTCCCGCTACTGCTGCTGCTGCGGCGGCGCTCGTGTGGCGCACTCTGCGACATCCTCCACGAGCGGCGCTTGCCGCCCGCGCGATTGCGGCTCAGCGCTCACGCCATTGCTTCGCGTGCACACGCGTTCATATACAGTTCATATACAGTTCATGTACACCGGAGGGGTGTTTAGGCCCATCACAGTCTCTCCGGGTCGATAGAATTAGTCTCCGCCACAGGAATGTGGAATTTCCGCTCCTGGCTATAACACATACACGTCACGCACTGACATACGCGCTACCACTAACCGGAACTTAACGCGTAAGTGGTGTTACAGGTGAATTGTGGAGTGCTACAGGTGAGTGATGAGTTTACACGCAAGTCGGGATTGCTACATGCGAGTGTTCATGCGAGTGGGGAGTATTACGGGTGAAAGGGAGTACACGAATCCTGGCAAGGCAACTTGTTTGTTCCGGCAACCCCCAGTTTAACACGTATTAGTAGGCTTTCGCGACCAATATCTGTAATAGAGGGGTTTTTTTGGGTTAGTGAAAATAGAAATGCGTTGTTAAACCCGCCGCCATCCGACACAGTCGGTTAGTAAGGTTTGTCACGTAAACAAAACGTGCCAATTAGTTACTACATTAGCACAGCCGTTGTCGCCTGCTGAGGCTCGTAATTACGTTGTGGGTTACTCTCCCAACATTGTAACAAATACATACATTCGAGTGTCGTTATTGTAGAACAACAAATATGAAAATACTTTTGATTTAAAAACAATGACTTTACCGAAAGACCCAAGAGAATGAAGTCATGTTTTCATGTGTCAGGCAGACCTCGCTTAGCGCTCAAGATGCGTTCCTGGAGAACTGAGCGCAAATCAAATTGGCGCTAAAAGGGGTCATTCTTTAATATATAAAAATCCAGAGCCTTGATGTCACGCTCACTCCGTAACGCTGTCATTAATAATCATGAGCGGTTGACGTCACCCCATATGGGGGGGGGGGGGGGCGCCACCCCACCGATAACTTAACCCTCATTAAAAAGCCAGAACCCTCATGCCACGCGAACCCTGTAACCCTATTGGGACGTAGAAGGAAAGAGGACATCATGATGAACATGGGATATTACAAATAGCACACCAATGGATGCACTGAATATGATTTTACTGTCTGTGTTTCGCTTGAATGTCAGATTTACTGCAATACACCCGTCCTTGGACGGGCTATAGGCTAGTTGTATATATGGGGATGCGTTCCCAACAGCGTAATTTCTTTCGTATGGGCAGTATATGAGGTGCTTCATTGGGGTATCAGTAATAGGACTGATAATACAGATGGTAAACATTTCACGAATAGAAAGAATACATTAAAATAACAGTGAGTGTTATCAACTGTAATCACGAGTACATTCTGCTGTGGTCCTACATGGCAGCGGTGGGAGACGAGGTTTGAGGGAGCACCCAATTGGGATCACTCAGAGAAGGGCTCCAGGACCTCCGTGTTCTTAGTGATGTACTCAGTATAAAGTTTTTTCGTGACGTTTATTTTAGCTACAGCATGATACGCAATCCTGGTCTATCGTGAATGTCACCTGGCTCAACAAATCTATTTTTTTTTTTACCAAATCGTGACCACAAAACATAATTGAATTGTGTTCTTGGTTCTTTCGGTAAAGTCACGTAGAAGGGAAATAATAAAATAATAAAAATAAACCATAATAAAATTATCAGCCGTCTTCAGGTGAAGAAACAACTGTCGGGAAGGCAGCGTTCCAATGGAAGCTTTAAATCAAAATTTAATTGAAATGTGGCCGGTGGGGTTCTGGCTGACTCAAGAGCATACGTCGCTTTTTGGCTGCGTGGGTACGTTTCCTTGGCTAACACTGGAACATGTTGTCACTCGTAAACACTTTGTAGATTCCTTTTGAATTTTATTTTTTGGAAACATTTTCTCCAGCATAAAGAGTGCAATAACGAATCGGCATTCTATGGGGTCGCGCGAAGCGAAGTCTACCTGTACTCACCAGGCCTAGTGAGACACATAGGCTTGTGACAGACAGCTCAAAATCTGGCCATGTAGTTGATATTGCACATTTGATCTCAGTTGTGATATCCAGTGAGACTTAATGCAAACAAGTGTACTGAAGGGTACCATTAGTTTCAAGGCATGTGTTAAGATTCCGGGGTAATCTTTACTCACAATGAACCAGAATTCTGGAAGAAGAGTTTGGGAACGTGTTCGGTGCAAAAGCCGTTAGCATGAAATTTCAATGAGCTGTTCGAATTCAACTGTGGGCAGATCCATTATTTCAGGCTTGCACTTTATCACGTCCACATCAGAAAAAAAGGTTAAGAATTGTGCATCCAGGTGGCTGAGGGGGTTCGTCATCACCCGAGTAGGGCACTGGTCAATATCGTTGTCAGACAAACTTTGAAAGTTGAGTGAAGAAACCGTACCCGAACTTCGACAGTTTCATCTTCCAGAGATAAATCTTTCTCATAAATGCTGTTATTCGATAACTTATTTGAATGATATTTGTGTTGTTTCATTGCATACTCGCATTCAGTTAATTTAGTTCCACGATATCTCAGTGACATAAGCCAGGAGTCGCATCTTCTGCTGATCAGAGAAAATCAACAAATTCTGTTCTTTTGACATACATTGCAAATGCGAGCAGCTCATTCCACTATGAAAAAAACCCACTCTAACATCATTTCGCTCGACAGCCAGTGAGCCTCAGTGTGAAACAACAACACATGATCGGAACTCATGTCTTCACATGTGTTTGCAAGCAGATGTTCACAATTAACGTGAACTGCATTATCTCACTAAGTTCTGCACTCGGTTCTTTAGCTGTCGGTTGAATCATGCAGTCTATCCTAGCAGCACTCTTCACCAAGGTGGTGCAGTCCTGCTTTGTATCCTGCCATACAGTGAGGGAAAAAAATATTTGATCCCCTGCTGATTTTGTACATTTGCCCACTGACAAATAAATGATCAGTCTATAATTTTAATGGTAGGTTTATTTGAAAAGTGAGAGACAGAATAACAAAAAAATCCAGAAAAACGCATGTCAAAAATGGTATAAATTGATTTGCATTTTAATGAGGGAAATAAGTATTTGACCCCCTCTCAATCAGAAATATTTCTGGCTCCCAGGTATCTTTTATACAGGTAACGAGCTGAGATTAGGAGCACACTCTTAAAGGGAGTGCTCCTAATCTCAGCGTGTTACCTGTATAAAAGACACCTGTCCACAGAAACAATCAATCAATCAGATTCCAAACTCTCCACCATGGCCAAGACCAAAGAGCTCTCCAAGGATGTCAGGGACAAGATTGTAGACCTACACAAGGCTGGAATGGGCTACAAGACCATTGCCAAGCAGCTTGGTGAGAAGGTGACAACAGTTGGTGCGATTATTCGCAAATGGAAGAAACACAAAATAACTGTCAATCTCCCTCGGCCTGGGGCTCCATGCAAGATCTCACCTCGTGGAGTTGCAATGATCATGAGAACGGTGAGGAATCAGCCCAGAACTACACGGGAGGATCTTGTCAATGATCTCAAGGCAGCTGGGATCATAGTCACCAAGAAAACAATTGGTAACACACTATGCCGTGAAGGACTGAAATCCTGCAGCGCCCACAAGGTCCCCCTGCTCAAGAAAGCACATACATGCCCGTCTGAAGTTTGCCAATGAACATCTGAATGATTCAGAGGACAACTGGGTGAAAGTGTTGTGGTCAGATGAGACCAAAATGGAGCTCTTTGACATCAACTCAACTCGCCGTGTTTGGAGGAGGAGGAATGCTGCCTATGACCCCAAGAACACCATCCCCACCGTCAAACATGGAGGTGGAAACATGTTTTGGGGGTGTTTTTTTGCTAAGGGGACAGGACAACTTCGCAAAGGGACGATGGACGGGGCCCATGTACCGTCAAATCTTGGGTGAGAACCTCCTTCCCTCAGCCAGGGCATTGAAAATGGGTCGTGGATGGGTATTCCAGCATGACAATGACCCAAAACACATGGCCAAGGCAACAAAGGAGTGGCTCAAGAAGAAGCACATTAAGGTCCTGGAGTGGCCTAGCCAGTCTCCAGACCTTAATCCCATAGAAAATCTGTGGAGGGAGCTGAAGGTTCGAGTTGCATACGTCAGCCTCGACACCTTAATGACTTGGAGAAGATCTGCAAAGAGGAGTGGGACAAAATCCCTCCTGAGATGTGTGCAAACCTGGTGGCTAACTACAAGAAACGTCTGATCTCTGTGATTGCCAAACGGGTTTTGCCACCAAGTACTAAGTCATGTTTTGCAGAGGGGTCAAATACTTATTTCCCTCATTAAAATGCAAATCAATTTATAACATTTTTAACATGCGTTTTTCTGGATTTTTTTGTTGTTATTCTGTCTCTTACTGTTCAAATAAACCTACCATTAAAATAATAGACTGATCATTTCTTTGTCAGTGGGCAAACGTACAAACTCAGCAGGGGATCAAATACTTTTTTCCCTCACTGTAGATGGAACACCATATGTAGAGAAGACAACCATGATATCCCAAATAATGTTTTGCCCTCTATGTGGCCATGGGAAGTGGCAGACAAAACAGAATGCCCTAAAGTATAGCATCCTCTGAAATGTATCGCACAAAAGCCAATGAGTGTGCATCACTGCCCTCGGTGTTCACATTAATTTCAAGAGTTGAAGCAGCGGTGCATTTCAGGCATTCAACTCATGTTTGTTCCTGATCGTCTGCTATCGCCTCAATTCTTTGTTTCACAGTGTTATTGAACAGTGGTATAGATTTCAGTTTATTTGCCTATGCCTCCCCACACATTTTCACCATGTCAGTTGCAGCAGGTAAAACTAGACTTTCCACAATTTTATGCGGCATCTTAGCCTAAGCAATTCTGTAGCTCACCTCGAATTATACTATTTGACCTTT